GGCTGGCGGTAATTGTGTAATGACTGCTTGTGGCCCGCCCCTCCACACCCCCTCCCCGAATTTAATTCTCATCAGCGAAGCTCTCCACTTTGCTAATAATGATAGCAGCCGCAAATAGCTTTCAACATGCCATTGACAGCCTGGTTGGAGAGAGCACTTGAAATAGTGGTAGACAGCTGAAAGTACCCATAATTGTGTGCCGGAGTGAGAACCACACTGCTCAAGGGCCTTATTTTCATGTGCTTAAAGAGACAATATCCTGGTTTCAACAAATGCTTCTGGTGCTTCATCGGTGGTATGATTTACTCCTTTCCTTTCTCTGTCCTTCTCCTTCCACTCCTTTCCTGTGCTTGGTTAGGGTTTCGTGGTGGGGCGTGCAGAGCGCAGCAGGCTCTTGGGCTGCTGAGGAGCACGTTGGGTCGGTACGGACCGGTCTGGCCCGTTCTGGGAAGCAGCTTCAACGTGCGCGTGGAGTTACCGAGGAGAGAGCTCGGCTCCTCTGCGGGAGTTCGTTAGCGTTGCGGGCGAGGACTTCTCCTTGGGATCTCTCACCTCCTCTCTTGCGAACCATCAAGCGACGCTGGCGCCCCGTTAGCGTGGCCAGCAGACGGTCGCCCGTGGACGGCCCTGCCAGCCCCTGTTGCTTCAAGGGTTGAAGCTTGCAGTGGAAAATCTTTATCAAGTTTTGGCAGGTTCCTCGAGAGGAGGGAGGGCCAGCTGAGCTGTGCCTTGCATTCAGCGCCATGTCCCTGGCCTTCGTCCCACCCCGTTTGAATCACTAAGCAAGGGCAAGTATTATTGGCGATTAGTCTGGTGTGGCCCAAAGTCTGGTCCTAAACTCCATCTGAAGCAGCTTGTTCTGATGCATGTGTCTGACTCTGGATGACCGCGGGGCCTCTCGCGAGCGCGGGGCAGCTGCGGGCCGGGTCGGGGGAGACCCGGACCTGGGGCTTTCTGCAGGGTGCTCGGAAAGGCTGCGGGCGTGCGCCTGGGACGCTGCGCCTGAGCAGCGATGTGCGGGGCGGCGGTGAGGCCGGGGCGGTCTGGCTTGAGAAAAGTGAGGTAGCGGTGCAGCTTTTGTTTACTCGCTTGACGGAGGCCGAGGCTAAACTGGTTTGGCCCAGCGAATGCTGCGGGGCACGGTGAGAGCGTAGCGGGCTCTGGGGCCCCCGAGGCGCTGGTGGTCTGGTTTCAGACTGCAGCTCTTCCTGCTCGCGCTCGCGTGTTTTACGGGGTTTGCAAGGCTCCTCGGTTCAGCGGCGCTCGGCGTATCCTGCGGCCGAAGGCAGGCAGCGTTATTTTTAAACTTCCCTCTGCCGCGTCCAGGGGTAAAGAT